TATTTTCAATAAAACAATTACATAAAAAATACACGATATTAATTATATCGACCGATTTTTTTCTGACTGAAGCGACTATATGGAAACACGTGTTGGGTCTGGGCCCATAACCTTTGTTAGAATATTTAATTCAAAGACGTCCGTTCGATACAAAATGTTTTATTGAAGTGAACAAAAACTGTACTTAGTATGTAAAAATAACAATAGTATAGAGTAACAGTTGTAATACATAAGAAAGTAAATTATGTACATATACTTGGTATTTGGTTTGCTCTTTCAGTGATGCCAACTATAACTAACAAGTATTGATTTAATTTAAAACGCATTTTTTTCTGTGAGAAAGCATGAATTAACGATAAAAAAAAATTTTGTGTGGTCTGTGATAATAAAAATATGAACCGAGCTATTCGCAAAGCTTTTAAAAAAAACCTGATTTTTTTATAACTACTCATCCTAATTTTATTTAAAAATTGCGCCTAAAGTTATGCTAATATTTGCAAGCTCGATTCCTTACTTTGAAGCGTGTTTTTATTAACCGAAATAAAATTTTAAAGCTTACGTTGTATTTAGGGGCTGGAAATTTCAAAAAATCGATAACGAAAAATGTGCATATATTTAAGAATATTCTAGGAAATACTTTTTTTATTTATTGTAATTAAAATAAAAATAAAATCAACACCCAAAACTTTAAACGCGTTTTTCTCGAAACACTGGTTTCAGCGGCGGTGTGGAAATTTTCTCCGTAGCGGCTAGACCGATCGATTTCAAAATTTCACACCACTTTCTTAGATATATTTCTGATATGATCGAATGAATAAAATTTTTGATAAAATTTTCGATTTTTAAGCCACTCTGAGGTGTTAATTTTTTAAATATTTTTACTAGTGTTCTAGTATTACCTGTATTTATCTATTGTAATAATACATTTCTTGGCATTAATTTTAAGCAGAAAAGCCTTACTCATCGCCAAACAACTTTTTTGGAGGTTCTCCTGGAGACCAACTACGGGAAGAAGAGATTCAAAAATGTCTAAAACTGAATCGGCGTTTGTTGAAGTACATGGAGTTCTGTAAATGCAGATTTTTTAATTTAAATATTGAATTAAAAGCATCTTACAAAATTAATACTCAAACAAACGCTTTTTCTGACATTCAAGTGGATATAAGCCCTTAAAGTCAATTGATAATTTTTTAGAATACGCCTAAAGGTATACTTAATAGTTTTTAAAGCTCGATTTCGTATATGTAGGTACTTAAATTCTGTATACAATTTGGTGTTCGGTAGTGGAAAAAATTACGTTTCAATTTAAGTTCAATTATTAGCGTGTTTCCTCGCCTAAACATTTCTCTTGGGGCATGGAATCATATATTCAAACATTGTACCATTTCAAACTATTTAACAGTTGCAGAGGCTCATCGAAATTAAACTACTAAATGCTTGACTATACTACAACTTGTATAAAAAAATATAGCTAACAAATTGCTAAATACTTGTATTGCTACAATATAACAAGTAATAATACTAATTATGCCTATTAGCACCTACTACCACATTAATTCCAATAATAATTATATAATATGTAATCAGTAAACAAATGCATTGAAGAGTAATTAACATTTCTCATTAAATGTCAAATTTCATTTAAAATTAAACAAACAAAAGAATCAAAAATCACCAATTGAAAGAATATAGAAAATAATTATTGCACGCTTAAATATATGTATGTATGTATGTTTTAGTATGAATGAGTTATATGTTATAGGCTTAAGTAAAGTTGTATGTCATATTATATTATTGTATAAAACAACCTTGTCATTATGTATGTATGTGTATATGTCAATATGCCTATCTATACCTTTTTATATTAAAAATGCACACATTTTATTTAAATAAGTTTACCACGCTTGTCGACTTTCCACTTCTTAAACTAAATTTATTTTGGCAGTTTTTAACAATACAAGGGGTGTCGCAAAAATAACCGAACTTTATATTTAAATTATACAACATATAAAGTTATCTATTGGAAAGTTACAGCATTAAAAAATACATTTATCCTTTTTCAATCGCATTTATCTCCATGTAAATCGGATGACAGCTGTTAAAGTTACAGTCATTTCAATAAAAGAAAGGGTGTGAAATTGATATAAAATGTTTGGTTAAACTTAAAAAAAGTTCGTTGAGACATACGAATTGATGAAAAAAATTTGTAGTGATGATTATATGAGTCGAACTCAAGTTTATACAAGGGTTTGAGAGTGGTCGTGATAATTTAAATTGCAAGATAAGGTCTTCCAGTAGCTAGTAATCGTGCTGAATTGGTGGTAAAAGTCCAAGAAATTATTAGTATCGATGCAAATTTTACTACAAGAATGTTGGTTGAGGGATAAAAAACGAGTAAAAACACTATTTGGAGAATTTTAACTGAAGATTTGGGTAGCAGTAAAGTTTTTTGCTCATGAATTAAATGAATACCAAAAAAGTGAACGAGTTTTTGATGTAATATTCACAAAGCTCGGTTATTTCTAAGACACAACTTGTACTTATTAATATGCTTAACCTAAATACTACATATTTATGAAACTACTGAAAAAGAGCCTCCACCATTTGTATACGTTTTATTTTAATTTGTTTTATTGTAAAATTAGCAACGCCCACGAACCAATCTTTGGCGAAATAGTTTTTCCTCGAGCCAAGTTTTCATTAATAATGGACTATATATATTACTTTTAAAAATATTTTATATATTTCTATGCATTTCTATTAAATTCAATTAAAAACGTTATTAAAACAAAAAAAAATTTAATACAATTATTTTTAATAGTTTACTGAAATTTCATGACAATTCATAACTTTTTGGAGTACGCCTAAAATTATACTAATATTTGTTATATTTTATTGTAATATCATAATATTTCTAAATGTAAAAATCTACTCTACTGCATATAATTTCATTTGGCTTCTAATAACGCTAACGCCTTATCCCTTAGTTAACACATGTATATTTTTAATATGAAATAATGCAAAAATAAAATTTAAATTATAATAATTAATACTTAAAAACTATATATATCTTTTTTTAAGTATTTTTCGAGTTTTTGAAGTTTTAAATAAATGAAAACATTTTTTTTTCAATTAGATACTCAATAAACTAATTAAAATTGTTCAGAAACTAAATTGTCACTAAACTAATTAATAAAAATGTCATATGAAATCATTTTATTTTTTAAATTTCCAAAGAGACACTAAAAAACCTAATAAAAATTTTAAAAAATTATTCTAAAGAAATTAACTGTCAATAAAGTAATAAATAAATATTTAATTTTCTTACACATTTAAAATTTAAATAAAAAGGAGCACAATAATCCGCATAGCTCGCAAAAAATCTAATATATAAAATTAAAACAAAAATGCATTAATCTAATCACTCAATTAAACACCGCATACAATTGCAATCGCTTGCAATTTTGTCATTAAATTCTAACCAAACGCTTATATTTGTTTATACTTATTTACTAAATATTAACTGTATGGTTTATTGTTTAGCTATCGCTAATTTATCAATAAAATTGTATTAAAAACAAAAACAGCCAAAAAAATCAACTCAAACTGAATTTTCCAATTGACTCTGAATGCTAATGAGGTTACGGTAAAACAATTATTTAAAATCGATATATGTATATTTATATATATTTTAATTCTTTTTGGAACTGTAAACTTACATTTTGTTCGGCAACATTTCTCTCAAGCATATAGTCAATATTTCATATATATTTCGATTCAATATTTGCAATTATATTATCGAAACTAATGATTTCGGTATAAAATAAAAATTCAAAAACATTTGACTAGTCTCTAGAGCTTTTAGGTCATTGGTCTTTCGTATATATATGTACATATGTACTTATCAGTGATCGAGTCATGCTATTTATTTTCGATTAATTACGATCAAAATTGTTTTAACGATTATGCCCGAGAATTGTAATGTAAAAAATTTGAAAAATTTATCACTTAACATATCACAATGTGTTTTCTACCTGCTGCTGTTCTGTAATAAATAATATGAACTATATATTATATATATATATATTTTTTTTTTAAACACTTTAAGACAATTTTGAAAATATATCCATAAATGAAAATGAATTTTGATTAATCAATAGACTCTTATCAGAACCAAAAAGTATAATTAGGCCTGTGTATGATTACAGGGTGTTCTTTAGAGGTATAGAATTTTCTATACGAGTAGAATGTTTATATTTTGGCAAAGACACAACTAATTGGAGTACTTTCTTATTATTAGCGATCCTAAACAAGCTCTTTAGACCACCTTTCATCCATAATTAGTGTTTTCAGGTGTGGTTTGCATGTCGAAAATTTCAAGTTTTTTAAAACTGAAGATTGTGCGTGACGGCAACGTCAATGACAAATCCTACAGGCAAGTGATTTCTGACACATTTTTTCCCATGTCAGTATCAACCACCTGAGTGCTAACTAGCTACGGCTGATCACTTGGTGACCAAGATAAAGCCGACTGGAAAAATTAATGCAAACTTGCACCGTACCAACATATTTGCCATTTCCTTAATTTTTTCATATTCCATTTGAAATAAAAGTTCTATACCTCTAAAACATGCTTTATTGAATTAGGACGTGATCCAGTTTAAAGCGAATATTGTAATAAAAAAATTTAAAAACATCAAATAATATTATTTTTGTATGTTTGTATGTATTTACAAATGTAACTCATTGGCATTCATATACATTATACAGACAAGAATTGTGTGTGAGACTCATATATATATACTATATACTCGTTAATTCGTTACTTATATAATATTATGTGTTTATAGTGCGTTTATATGTAATTTTACATAAATATCGACTGCGATTACCATTGTTTCAATATTTCAAAAAAAATATATATATCGAGTTAAATGAACCACTGTATATTTATTGCATTTTGCTTTTAATTTCTTCTTCCTCATGCGTGCGCTATACAGAATCGTAGCAGTGAAAATAGCGGTCTCGGCACTCCCGGCACACGCACCAGCAGCGTATTACCCGACTTGCTCAGTCAAGCCTCGCCGGCAACACCACCGCGTCACGATAAATCATCTAGCGAGGAGGTGAGTAATGCGTTTCATCACGTCTTAGATATTTCGAAATTTAAATTTTGTAATTTTGTTTTCCATCATATTTTTTTATACAATAGTTAATCATTTATTAGTTAAATTTTGAATTTTAACGTGCGTACGTCATTTTATTTCTATTTTAAGTTATGCCAATTTATTTACAATTGTTGTTAGATATCGTTGTGTTTTGTTGCCTTCATTTACATACATAGCTATAATTGCGTTAAGGTTAACAGAAATATATTTATATACATACATACATGCAAATTCATATGTATAATAATGCGTGGTATGTATGTATGTATGTAGTTATATTCGTATGAAATCATAACATATTTTGAGTTTTATAATCATCAACTCCGTCGAACCCAACGTAATGACGCTTAAGACTCGCCGAAAAGTTAAAAAATTATATTTTTAGGTTATGTAGAAGCGGGTAACATGAGTATAAAATATTGTTTTAGCAGCTAAAGATTAGCCAGGGATAATAACCCTTTTCGTGGTGTTAATTCTGCCACATGTTATTCAATTAATAAACCTTCAAACTCGGCTACAAAGCCAAGTTGAACTAAAAACCAAACCTTTGCTCAACGTAACTCTTTTAGAAACTCGTTCTCCTATATTAAAATATAATATTAAATCACTTTTATTAAAAATAGTAATAATAATTAATTATCTGATATTATTTTAACTAAAAAAAGCTGTTTTCCCAAAATAGCACAAAATGTTGCCTACATTTTGGCGCGCAAACAAATTATTAATTCAAATTGGTTTTAAAAATAAATCAATTTTAGTAAAAGTAATGGAAATTAAATTTTTGTAATTTCTTTTTTGTTTTCCCAAATAAGCACAAAATGTTGCCTTCATTTTGGCGCGCAAACAAATTATTCATTCGAAATTAGTTGAAATTGAAACAGAGATAAAGTGTAAAGTATTTTTTTTGGTAGTTGTTTTATAAATAAAAAAAAAAAAATTTTAATTTATTAAATTTAGTGCAATATATTTTAATTTAAATCAAGCAGGTTTTCGAAAATTTTAATTGGCATAAAAGTTTCTTAAAAATAAATGAAAAATTTTCTAAATCTATTAACGTAAGAGATGCGAAAATTGTATATTTTCCAAAAGCCTGCAATCAATAATCAGTATCCGCCCCTTGAACTGTAAATTTTTTTGTTTTTTTACTAACAGGCCTGAAAACAGTTTTTCTATCAATATTTGAAAATTGTTATTTATTTTTAGGCTTTTAGTAAAAACTATTTACAAATTTATATCAATATGCTTAAAAAGTATTTATTACAAAAATATGTTTAAAAAAATTTGAAGCTTTTTGCCGAAAGCTCTCTTAATGTCTTAGTTTCGAGTTGTTTGTCTGTGTTTGGCTAACTAATATTTGTGTAGGTGTGGCATACAAACTAAACGAATCACTTAATTGAACTCTTCTACATATTTTGTGACTAATAACAACAACAACAACGAGTTGATGGCAATCGAAATCATTTGTTTGGCGTGGCGTGTAATGTTTACCGTTACATTAGTACAACTAAACCATTTACTTTATTGATTAACAAGCAACAAACAACAAAAACAACAACAATTTAGTAGATACATTTAGTAAAAGAAATAAAAAATTAACCGAACTGACCTGCCTGCTGCCACCACAACACAACACTGCTCAATTAAGCATAGTCTTCTAACGGTTTTGTTTGTTTGTTTTAGTTTCTAGGCATCTCAGCTGCAACTGACCACAAACATTTGCAATTATTTTTTATATAACCACCTTAGTCAGTGTTTATTTTCTTTATATTTTTTGTGTCGCTGTTGAGTCAACGTATTTGTAGGTTAGTTTTTGTTGAACTGATAACAGTGATTTTTGTTGGCATGTTGGTTAGAACTAGATGATTTCTCGTATAAATCAAATACAAATCTACACCCTTTTTTCAAATGATAATTATATAACAAAATAAAATTTTTCTTCATTGTGCTTTGTCTTTCCGCGACGTTTGTGTTTGAGCTGATGGCCACAACGAAATTTTTAACAAATTATCAATATGCCAAATTGCAATTAAAAACAAATAGTAAGTATTTCATAAACACCAACAAATATACATGTAAAATTAAAAAAACAAAAAGAAAACAAAATAAATTGCAAGTTTAAATTAGCAACCACTCGCAAATAAATAACAGTATGAGTAACAACAAAGTCGCTAGTGTCTGTAAAAAAAGCAAATACTCTGTTGTTTGATATAAACAAATGTATAGTATCACTAAACTTATAAGTAAAGATCCAAAACAAAAAATTATAGTAAATCACGCAAGTTTCTAAATGTTTTCCTACTACATAATCTTAATGTATTGTAAAATAATTTTTATTTTCTCTCCTATCTTTTATTACAACTTTTTTGTATAATATGTTTTATGCTTCGTCTTACATATTCCTATAGTTAAATCAGTGTCATAGATATAAAAAAATATAATAAATAAATCAAAGTAAATTAAAATATTAAAAAAATATATAAATATACATACGTATATTAAAAAATTAGAAAAAAACTTAATTAAAAATATAAAAAAAAAATTAATTAAAATAATTAAAAATTAAAATTAATTTAATTCAAAATTAAAAAATTATTAATTAAAAATTAAATAAAATGATTTAAAAAAATATACACATACATAGTATATACATATATATGTGAATTAAAAAATAAAAAAATAATAATTAAATTATTAAAAATTTAAAAGTATTACATTCCACTAATTTTTTTTCATATTGAGAGTGTTTAACAAATTTTATTGTTCGTATACTTTTCGCATAAAGTGTAAATTTGTGTTACCATTCATGTAACTATTTATATTTGCGTGCAATATTTTCAATAAATCTATTTTAAATACTCGTACAATTTTCGTATGTTTGTTATATTCTGTGTGGCATGCTAGAATAAATAAAATATGCAAGATTTTAGCTCAAAAAAACTACAAATATATATAATTTGTTTTGCATAAAAGAGTCTTTCAAACAATTGTAACTAACCTATGTTTTGAAAATCTCACCATTATACATATACATTTTGGCATTAGGAAAAGATATGTAACCTTTAGATAAAAATAAAACGGAAAAAAGTAACATTAATAGAATACTCTTATTAGAACTGTTCACACCAAGATTTTTTTATATCTTGTATAATAACATAATTTTTATAAAAACATTGCCTACATTTCGGCGGAAAGGAAAAAAAAGTGTGAACGTTTTTATAATAAAACCATATTCAGTTTAAAAAAAAAGAAAGTATAAATATAAGGGTATGTATCAGAACATTTGCGAGAGCTGCAAAAAATGAATTTTAGAACCATTTTTATGGTGTATAATTTTAAATTAAGAAAAAATAATAATCAAAACTCAAGTGACACTTGGGAGGCAAAAATACATTAAAATGTTTTCAGAATAGTCTGATATTAAATATAATATTTTACATAAAATGTCAAAAAATAGAGTCTTCTTGAGTTCCTTAAACTAAAACCAATAAAACTCGGGGCCTTTTTAAGATAGTAAATTGCTAATTACCACTCTTACAAGTTTGTGGAAGAAATATTAAAAGCTGACACTAGTTTTCCAAAATGTAGTAAAAATAATAATAGCTAAACATTACTAAAATTCAAAATTATTTAAAAAGTTTAGATAGCACCCTTTTTTAATATTTTATTATATATATAGGTATTATATATTTCCAAAATATTGGATCACCATAAGCAAGGGAAAATTAAAAATAAAATAAAAATTTTTATATTTACTTCAAACACTAAAAGTTGATAATAATTTTCTATTAAAAATATAAATAAAATAATATATTTATTACCAAGGTTTTAAATTATTTAATATGTTTAAATATCAAATATTTCATTAGCTTCCAAACAGTCCCTAAGCAAGATAAATACGTAATTTTCATGAAAAACAAAAAGTTAAAAAATGCGTATATTAAATTTTTTAATATAAATCTTCTACTTTGAAAATTACCCGTTACCTAGTGGAGCATAATGAATTTCACAACCCACACCTACTAAATACATATACTATTTTTGCCTGAACACGCAACACATAATATAACAGACATGCGTATGATTGTGTAAATCATGACCAAAATAATAAAAAATGTTAAATTAATTAATTAAGTAAAAAATAATAATAATAATTTTCCATGTTAGTGAATAAAATTAAATTAGCAAACATATGCATACACAGACTACACACACACACACACACTCAATTATAATAACCACAGCTACTAAATGATTGCAAATATTTTCGACAAGCTCTTTATTTCTTCTTTTGTACCACCGATTCCATGGCGTCTGGGAAAGACTTAACACATACTCTCATATTATTATCTATAATTAACTAGATTTCAAGTTTCCGCACTCCAAAGTTGTTAGTGCCTACGGCTATTTAAAATCATATACATCATATATATTATCACTAACAGTATTTCATTATCATCTATATAGACTAATTTCATATAAATTTTTGAAAATAAGTGAAATGGTTGCCAACGTCTATTTAAATGGATTTTTATATTTCATTACAATGCCGTTACGCATGAATATTCGTGCAACTCTGCATATATGTATACTATTTAAAATTACCGTTACTCAACTTAAAAGCTTTAAAAATAGTTTTCTTTTGCCTTCAAAATTGGGCTCTTCGATGCATTAATATTTTTGGCGCGTTTTATTTGCATGTAATGCGCCAGTAATCATGCGTAACGCTACTACTATATATATATACTTGTATGTGTGTACTCGTATGGATTTACTCGCTGGTGATGAGTTCTTTATTGAGTATAACAAGTGTAGCTCACACTTTCGCATGTCAAGCATAGAAGCAAGTGGTGAATATATTACTTTTTTTTAACACTAAAATAAACTATATAATTGTATATGTATGTGTAAATAGTAATAATATTTTATTAACTTTAATATAAGCAAAAAATATTAACAAATTATTTTTTTTATTTTCTTTCCTCTTTTAAAAACAAAACAAAAAAAAAAAATTGCCAAAAATATTAAACGAACAAACAAACCAAATAAATGAAATATCCTCGCTAAATTGAAACGTATTTGTGTGTGCATGTGTAATATATTGGCTTTATCGCCGTACACGACAGTATCAAGCGGCCATCAACTCATCAGTGCATTCCACGCCATCCAAGTCGTTTATCAGTTCGAACAATTCGCCGCAGTCGACGATTTCGTTGTCGTCATCGTCGCGGCAGAATAGTCCGAAAAATTCAATTAGCAAAACTAGATCTACCAGCAGTATTACTAATTTATTGCACAAATCTGCTTCTTCTTCTTCCAATATATCAACGCCGCCATCATCATCCTCCAATTTGCCACCACACGCCTATGCGCTGCAACAGAAACAGCGCAGTTTCCTCACATTCGGTTTTGGTGCTGGCGGCTCGGGACCAACGCGTCGTGAATCGCATATAAATGTCAATGTGACGCCGACATCGCACGAGGCGACCAGTGACACACCAGAAATACGTAAATACAAGAAACGTTTCAATTCGGAGATATTATGCGCAGCATTGTGGGGTGTCAATCTATTGATCGGCACCGAGAATGGCCTGATGCTGCTGGATCGCTCTGGACAGGGAAAGGTGCGTCAAAATGCAATTCATATATATAGATAGATAGATATTATTTAACTGTGTTCGATATATATTTGCTTCTTATACTTTTTCAGGTGTATCAACTGATCTCGCGTCGTCGTTTCCAACAAATGGAGGTGCTAGAAGGTCAAAATATTTTGGTTACCATATCGGGTAAAAAGAATCGTGTGCGCGTTTATTATTTATCATGGCTGAAATCGAAAATCCTACGTACCGATGGACTTTCTGATGTAAGTTTAAAGTCGATTTAGCTAAATTTAAACAAATATTATGGTATACATCCTCGAGCAAAAAAAGGGTATATTTTAAATAATTTTTTTTTTTAAATAAAAAATTAAATATTATATTCAAACTTTCTGTTATTCCAAGGGTACATATTTTACAAAGATTTTGTGAAATTTTTATCTGAAATGTAAAAAAAAATACGTGTTTTAATTAAGACCATAAACTAGGTATTGGACGACGGAAAAAAGTGAAAATTGTATTTTTGTAGACGCTTACAAAAAAATGCAAATTTCGGTGAACATTTCTCGACGTTTTTTTTAAACAGTTGTAATTGAAATATATACTCTGCTATAGCATTTTGAGCTATTTGATGAAAATTATTACTGGATCTGCCAGAATTATTGAGTCCAATGAATATACAAATATTATCAAGCGAAGTTTGTTTTCTTCAATCTCTAACTGAGCTGCACGCTTACACAATTAATTTGTTAAACAGTTTGCAATGTTGAATTGTATCCACTTTCTATTACTATTTAATAGATTTATCTAATTGTTTATTAATTTTATTGAATTTTTCTCAAACAGCAAGTGGAGCGTCGCAATGGCTGGATAAATGTTGGTGATTTACAAGGTGCTGTACATTTTAAAATTGTGAAATACGAAAGGATTAAGTTCCTAGTGATCGCATTAAAAGACTCGATTGAAATTTATGCATGGGCTCCCAAGCCATATCACAAATTTATGGCATTTAAGGTATGCTATGATGAGCTTTGAAATACTAAATTTCATTCAAATAACTAAAAATTATTTTCTCTCTCTTTTCTTCGCACTGTCTCTCTCTCTCTCTCTTCAGAATTTCGGCGATTTAGAGCATCGTCCGTTATTAGTTGATCTCACCATAGAGGATCAATCACGTCTTAAAGTGATTTATGGTTCTGCCGAGGGTTTCCACGCTGTGGACTTAGACTCCGCTGAAGTATACGATATTTATCTTCCTAAACATGTACGTTAAGTTAATTTACAATTTATTTTTATTTTATAATCTATAATTTACTCACCTATGTTTATATTGTTCTTTCTTCATATACAGACTCATGATGCAATCATTCCGCATTGTATAGTGGCGCTTCCAAATTCGAATGGCATGCAGCTTTTGCTCTGCTACGACAATGAAGGTGTCTATGTAAATACGGTTGGGCGAGTTTCAAAGAATATTGTCTTGCAGGTACTAGCAGACTATTTTTTTTGTGCATACTTTTAGACATTCTATATAAAATATTCGCATTTATTCACTGTTCACTTTTTCAGTGGGGTGAAATGCCGACATCCGTGGCCTACATCGGCACAGGACAAATCATGGGCTGGGGCAATAAAGCAATAGAAGTGAGTATTACGCTTTGAACCGTTTTGGCTAAAAGTGTCTAATATCAAATGTATGCTTTACTATTTCTTCCCGGCAGATTCGTTCGGTTGAAAGCGGTCATTTGGACGGTGTGTTTATGCACAAAAAAGCACAACGCTTGAAATTCCTGTGCGAACGCAATGACAAGGTGTTCTTTAGTAGTGCCAAAGGTGCATCATCATGTCAAATATACTTCATGACACTCAACAAGCCAGGCATGGCCAATTGGTAATCAGTCAGAGAATTCAAAGGATTCGAAGTGATATATTGCGCAACGTAGAAGCACGTACGATTTATATGAGCGTAGAGAGAATAGAGTGAAGAAATTTAATTGAATACAAAAACAAAACATTGAAATTATAACGATAACGCTGATTGATTACGACACAATCGACCGTTTTGTTTCTCCTATTTATAAGAGAATTTTAAATTAATAATATAAATATATATATAAATAATAAAAACACAATAACAAAACAGATAAAAAATATAAAAATAAAATGCTTAATACTGCATGCTGGATATGAAATGAAAAACACACACACACACATACACACTTTAAAAACATTAGCAGACTTGCGACGCAAATGAGTTTTGAAAATGTTTTGTAATGAAATGCCAGCTATTTAATTTGGAAATATATATGCCAAAACCTGGAAAGCAATGGAAAGTGGAAAGGATGTGTGCGTGTACCCTAGGACGGTACGCTTGAAATATATATCGAAAAATATGTGGAAATGGATTTGCGCTAACAGAAACTAACCGTTAATGCAGCACGCTGTAGACATGTATTTTAATATGTAATTTAGTTGTGTTATGGAAATTTATATAGAGAACAAAAAAAAACAATTAAGCATGAAAATGAAATATCGCATTGAAATTGATTTAAAAAATATAAAATGAAAACACAGACGATATTTGCATTAAATCCTGGTTAGACACAAACAAAAGTGAACGCACAGCGTGTTCGAAAAGAACTTCGAATTTGGTTTTTATGAGTTTTCGCAATTATAATTTCAAAATTTATGTATCATAAGAGAGTTGTTGACAAAAAACTTATTTTTTATTAAATTTTATAAAAACTTAAAAAAATATATGGTTTTTTTTGCTACTTTTTAACCTTACATTACGTTCTTTAAAAATTTATTTTGCCGTTTCTTGAAGTAAAGTGGTAATTTTTTATTTTTTGTTTTTGTGTTAACTTTCAATGTAGTAAGGTTAAGTTCAAAATAATTTATTTAGCTGTTTCTTGTTTTTTTTTTTTTGTTAAATTTTATTTTAGTAAAGTTATGTTCAAAAAAATTTCAAAATGATATTTATTTTAAAATTTTCAGTTATATTATTACATAAAATGGTAAATAATTTTAAAAGCTAAACAAAAAACAAAATTCAAAGTTTTTTGTTGCATACGCTGTGCGTCATTTGTTTAGACATTATGTGTTACGTTTTTTAAAATGTAAAAAAAAACAACTAATTTATTTAGTTTGATGCTCATGACAGTTAAAAAAAATAATCATTTTGCTAAATTCTACGGCACATTGTCTGTTTGGAAGCTTATTTAGTAAAGTATTTTATTTGAAATATTTAAAAATATGTTATTTATGTGAGCATTACTCACAGTGAGTGCCAATTTTTTGTTATATTTGAAAAAAATTGCACGTTTATACAATTTTTAAGCAGTTATGTTTTAGAAAACTACGCGAAAATTGAAACATGTGGTGTACCTCCTCGTACACCTACATTAAAATATATGGAAAAAGAGAAATGCCTAAAAGTGTCGCGAAATGTAAACAAAGAGAGAAAAAGCGGTATAGAGAAAATTTCAAAATGAGTTATGAGCAATATATGTGCGTGTAAAAGCTTTTAACAAAAAAGTTTAACGTGCGCGTTGTGTGTTAGAAAGGCGTCGAATTCGAATTTGTAGAGCCCAGCTTGTAAAATTACGGCGACAATTGCAGTTCACAATGCGCGCACACATAAAAGGCGGTTATGCCAACTGTATTCGATTTTTTGTTTTTCAAATATTAATTTTTTAAAGCAAATAAATTTTGCACACATGAATGTTTTTTATTGAAATCGTAATTTTAAGCTAAGCCAATTTGTCCTTGCAATAAACGAGAACCACAAATATCAAAAAAAAAAAAATTAAAATTAAATATATATTTATGTGAAAATATACGAAAGCATTCGTAAGCACTTTTTCTTATTTAACATATACATATGTATGTATGATGAGAATATAAATATTTCTTTTTGTAATGAATTTATTACATACTATTAATTATATACACAAATACAATTTTTACTCTTTACATGAAAAAGTAGTAGTTTATATTTTGGTTGCCCAACGTAGCACCGTCGCCCACGCTTGGGTTTATTTAGGTTTGTCTTACTATGTAGTTGCATATGTGTTGTAACATGTTTTTTTTTTTTTTGTTAATTTTTTTATATAATTTTTTTTTTTGTTTTTAATTTTTGTTTTCTAATAAAAAATTGAATTGAAACGCCATTTGTAAAAACATAAGTGATAGTACATAAATACAAATGAATGAAGATTATATTATATAATATCAATTAATGCGAAAGTGAATAGCATGGAATGGAAACCGGAAATGGTATATATGTAAAACGCATAGAAAATGTATGAAATTCGAGCTATGTATGTAAAAAGCAAAAACAAATAGCGCATCAATGAGTGAAGTGGAGTGTCGTGCATTAAGAAAATAGTATTTAAAAAAAAAACATACAAATAATAATATTAGCATAAAAATAAAGCGATTGACAGCCCGCGGTACACACGTGACACTCGCACGCAAATAGACACATTTAAAGAATTAAAGAATTAAAGAAATATTTAAACACGCAAAAGTGTGGCTGCAAAGCGTTGCAATGAAGTAAATAAGTAAAATATAAAAAAGAAAAATAAATATTAAAGCATAAAATAAAGATAAAAAGAAAGCTAAATAAATGAAGCAGTTTATATACATACATAAGAATACTAAACGGCCTAGTTAAGCATTTTTTACTGAACTTTTTACAAAGCGCCTAAAACACGGCGCTCGCAATAAAGAATGAATGCGTACACTCACACAAATGAATTCAAACTTTAAATACACACAGACATATATATACATATATATATATTTAATTTATAAATATGAAATATATATATGTATGTATATAAATGCATTGATGGTGCATTAAATGAACAACAAACAAAAATAAGTTTATAAAATAAATGAAAAGAAGCAAAGCAACAAATTAAGAGTTAACACATGCAATCATAAACAGAAAGAAGCAAAACGCGGTAAAATATGGAGCTGCAACAAATTTAATTTGTAATCTTTAATTGTAATTAGTTCACTTATATATATATATTTTATTGTTTTTGCTGCGCTCAGTATCGGTATGTATAGCTAAATTTTTTTTTGTACTTCACCGCACGCTCTTACATGTGCTCGAAATCAATGCCGATAGCTGTATTTATAGCACAACCACATAATTTGTAACTCAAATGCTAAAAAATCTAAAAAAAAACGTCAATAATTTGTATTCTTTTTTTTTTTTTTGTATTTCTTCAATGTATTTGCTACTTAACGTTACTCTTTGTGTGTTGTATTTGTAAAAGCATAAACAATTTAGTTTTGCTGTTGTCGCAATGCATTGCTGGCGCTTCATATTGAAGTGCCCCAGTCAAGCAAACACCCTATATAATTATTTGTGTGCAACACGGTATATTCGTTTTTTTTTGTGTTTCGCTTAAATTTTGCAAAACACATACATTCATACAGACAACATTTGCGAACTTTTTTTTTTTACTAAGATTTTTCGTGTTCTTAAAATGAAATCTACAAAAAAAGTATATGCAAATTTAGAAATTTTAAGCCACATTGGAAGTTACTTCAATCGATGTATATTTGTTTGTTTGTTTGTTCGTTTTTAACCTATAAGTTATGTAATTAATTAATAAATGTATTTGGATTTGTGTTAATTGGCGTATTGATGAAATCTAATGTATAATCCTTAACCGGCCAACCCTTTATATATGCTGTCTTCTTAATTTTCACTATCGAAACGACAACATTATTATCATTATTATTTTGTTTTTTATATAATTGTGCGCATTGTTGCGCCAATAAGGCGCATATATCTAAATATTAATTGAAATAAATATGAAATATATATATATATATAATCTCAAAATTAAAATGGCAAAAAAATAAATAAAGGAATGTGTATTCTTTCATGAAGCTTTCAAAGCTAAAGCTGCCGTTGTAAATGACAAATGCAGAGGTGCGAGGGGTTGTTGTGCTTTAAGGAGAAAATATAGTCAACAATGAGAAAATACTAGCTCAAGAGTATTTTATTGCAACGATTACTCTACTTCTGTGTGGAACATCAAGTACATACATACCTATATAATATATTTATAGGTGTGCGCGTGTGAATATGTATAAGAAAATCGCCAAATATTAATATATAGAAAAAATAACCAAATGATTATTAAGTAGGATAAAAATTTATTGGGTTTTATTAGGTTGAGAAGTTAAAATAATATTTATCCACTACAAATTTTTCATTATTGATAACTGCTTATAGTGGAATGCCTTGAACATCCCACACTTAATAGGGTAGTTTGAATTTTGCGAATAAATTGATTGCCTTAACCTGCATATAACCTTAAAATCAAGATAGATATGACGCTGGTATAAGAATGAGCGTATTTATACTTTTAATTTTGAATATCGACCGTTACACATATGTAGGTATATAACTATTATTATAAACCTAAATTTGCATGTGTCAATAATTTTTAGAGTGTTTATTTCAAGGAATTTAAATAATATAAATTAGTAAGATCCCAATTAAACGCTTGTAAATCATCGAATGGAAATCACTGTGTTTGTGTAAATGTACCAGAGGGATTTGGGATATTATACAGTTTTCGAACAATATTTGAGTTAAATGCATTTATTTCTTAAACGAGGAACACCATAAAGGAAACGTTGATCTTCTCAAAATAATTTTCAATATGAACAAACCGATTTAAGTGTTGAACACCACGTGCTGGTGAGAAAAAACGGTTTTTGTGAGTTTTATTTTTTTGAAGTGGCATTTTATTTATGGGGCTAAAAAAAGTCTCTTTTATAGACTTGTCTACATCTGGAACTAACCATATCCTTATTTACTATTATTTAAAAAATTCGAACAGTTATAAAAATTGTTTTTCCTATTTTTCCGTAGAACCAGATATAGTGACATTATTCTAGATTAATAATTTTGTTTAGTTTCAGATTGCTAGGATGGTTGAAATCTTTTAAGACCACCTCTTTTCATCAAGCTAATTTTTGAAATTGGTAACTTTTATTGTTTTGTGATTTTTTTCCAGTATTCTTGTCCTATTAATAAAAAACTAAAAAATAAATTAATGGTAAAAATATGAATTGCCTTTTTTTTACGGCCTTATATATTCCAGCCTTAGACTAACATACTCACTTAATAAATAAAAAAAAATTTACATTTATTTTTTATATCCAAGAAGATTGTGTGAAAATTTCAAATCGGTTCAGCCGTTTAGGCGAAATTTTTCTCACCGACTCTGAAAATAGCGTTTCGAGAAAAAACGAAAATTCTTTCAAATACGCTTATACGAGTATTTTTGAAACTATTTACCAAATTAATTTGAAATTTACGATATAGGAGTATGAAGAAGAAAAAAACGATTTTTTTTTTAATTCACAGGTGGATTATAATAGTTATAATAGTAAGTATTTTGAGGGGCACACCTAGTACGAAATTTTGAAAAAACAAATTTTTCTTTTTGCATAATTACACGTTTCAAAATAACATACTAAAACTTTAAATGGATATTTAAAATATTTTTTGAGTTAGATCCTTCTAAAGTGTAACCGCTCACTGCAATCAGCTCAATAAGTTTATGTTTAAACGCGGAAACGCAAGACTACAATTTTCGAATAAGCTGCAGTTGTAATTCAAAGATTAATCATCCGATCGCTTTAATTATTTTCTGCTTACTTTTCGATTGTATGAAAAATGTGGGCGGACCTAAAAATATAATGTTTTTAGCAAAATTCGAATTTGTTTTAAGGACTGCCATTTTGTCAAGTTTCAACTTTTTTAACCATGGGGGTCATACAATTTTTTGTGAAGTTTGTAAAATATAGAATAATAACTAAAAATTATCATTTTTTTTTTTAAGTTTTGTGTTTATTCATTAATTATGTATGTTCAAACATATCTTCAAATTTTAAAATATTTCATGCAATAGTTTTCTTTAAAAATTCCCAAAATCATGGTCCCACTAGGTTTGCCTATTAATTATAAAACCGTTTTTTACTTTTAGAAAGAGTTTTTAATATTAAGGTTACGGAAAATGTTACGAAATCATCAAACTACTGACTATTGAATATAAATATTTATTGGCTCAAACTGATGATGACTGAGTGAATTATATATTTATAAGTATTTTATTAAATATATATACATTTAGTTTCTCGTTCGTTTGCATGCTTATACGTTTTTTATACGCTTTTTATGTGTTCAAAACCAAAATTTTTCTTAAAAATTTAAATGTTTGTGCGTTAGGGTGTTTCTTAAATGCAGTAAAAAAAATTCCATACATATTCAGCCTAGTAACTATAGTAGCAGATATCTTACAGTTTATATATGATATATTTATCAGTCCTAGTAACGTTTTTAGCAGTAGATGAGAAATGAATACTCAATTTAAAAAGCTTCTTAAATATTCATCCAAGCGGACCAATATGTATGAATATGAATCTGTTTTTACAACCCACCGATCCAAAGAGGCTTAGATCCGGGTCACTACCGGTAACGTACACCCAGCTGTCGTGGAAATTGTACGCGTTCTCTTTGATTATCTCTGCTAATGTTGAGATAAACCCTATTTTACTAAATGAAAGCATCCCTTGCTAAAATATCTCCTGTTATCACTTACAAATTACAAATATTATTGGTCTACAATGTAATGACATTAAGTGACAACCACACGAGTCTACGGAACTGGAGCTGGCCGTTCCCGCGACCATCGGTTCTACTATGTAACCGAAACGGATCTGATTTTTATCCGGCCAAGGAATTTTAACTCGGCTGTATTCCACCAAATTACTTCTGGCACATTTTTTGCCGCTACCACAACAACGTAACTGGAACTGTCTCAGTTTTATATCCCGCTCTTTTAACTTAATGTAAAACTATTGTGGATAGACAACAGTGATAGCAACTATCTTTTAATTACTTTGGACTTATCTCTCAAATCCAAAGAGATAATACTCTTTTTAGCGGCTATATAATTTATAGAAATAGAGGACGGAAGTAGCATAGAAAACAAAATATACCTTAACCATTACACGAACATGAGAATCACCAAACTTGCAGCTTTTATAACGTTTAACAAAATATTATAGTTTAAATTCATATTCAGAATTGGCTCTAAGGAAACAATTGACGCATTTAAGAACTGCTTACAGAAATTAAATAAAACAAAAAATATAAAAGTATTGAACTTCAATAAATTACAGTGATCTGGCGCTCAACAAAGGGTTAAAGATGAGCACAAATATATCAAAATAATTTGCTTATTCACTGACTATAATAAATAATATAACATGCCATAAATTGATACGTATATAATACATAACATAAATTGATTAATAGCACCCATCAATGCTAATATTTTAAATTTATACACTTTCGGAACAAAAATTGAAATAACACTTCTGGGCGGAAGTACGCTTCATTCACAATAGCGCTGGTGCGTGTAGCTGTCATTACGGTTGGTAGCATTGTCGGTCAATTGTCAAATTCTCATGTTTTGTACTTTTCTTCCTACTTCTTTACTTTCCCACTTCTCTTTCTTTTCGATTTTTACAGGCTTGGTGGGTGCTTTGTGCTATAATTTAATCTTTAATTATTTCAATTTATACGAGCCATCGCCGCGAAAATATTATTTTAACGTGAAATTAAAATGATTATTACATCAAAGTTAAAAGTATTTTATATTTATATTGATTTTATTTTCATTTTGTAAACATTCCAAAAACTTGCGGTGATGGCTATTTTAGCAGATGAGCACATATTTGATAGCGCATATATACAAAAATATTACAAGTTGAATTGTGCGGTTATAATATAAAGTGTGCATACTTTCCGTTCTCTAGGTATTGAAAGCCAGAAATGGGTCGTGTTATTCGTGCACAACGTAAAGGCGCTGGGTCCGTCTTCAAGGCCCATGTTAAGAGGCGTAAGGGAGCCGCTAAATTGAGACCCCTGGATTTCTCCGAACGTAATGGATACATTCGTGGTGTTGTTAAGGTAATTTCATTTATTGTGTTGTCTTTTGAATTTTTACTTATACATTTCTTTCAATGCAATTGTAGGAGATCATCCACGATCCCGGCCGTGGCGCTCCATTGGCTGTCGTGCACTTCCGTGACCCCTACCGCTACAAGATCCGTAAGGAACTTTTCATCGCTCCTGAGGGTATGCATACCGGTCAATTCGTATACTGCGGCCGCAAAGCCACTTTGCAAATTGGCAATGTGATGCCACTGTCAGTGATGCCTGAAGGTACCATCATTTGCAACTTGGAGGAAAAGACCGGTGATCGTGGCCGTTTGGCACGTACATCTGGTAACTATGCCACCGTAATTGCACACAATCCTGACACCAAGAAAACTCGCGTTAAGCTGCCATCTGGTGCCAAGAAAGTCGTTCCCTCTGCCAATCGTGCTATGGTTGGTATTGTTGCCGGTGGTGGTCGTATCGACAAGCCCATCTTGAAGGCTGGTCGTGCATACCACAAATACAAGGTGAAACGCAACAGCTGGCCTAAGGTACGTGGTGTTGCTATGAATCCTGTTGAGCATCCTCACGGTGGTGGTAACCATCAACATATTGGTAAAGCTTCCACAGTTAAGCGTGGTACATCTGCTGGTCGTAAGGTCGGTCTCATCGCTGCCCGTCGTACCGGTAGAATACGTGGTGGTAAGGGCGACACCAAGGACAAATAAGCTGGAGTTTGACAACAAACCGAGTTTAGTTGAAAGGAGTGAATATTATAATAGTGAGAATGTGTATTTGTTGGTGGATTTAAAATGGATTCACATATACACAGTAAAAATAAAAAGATTTTTATTTTAAAATGGAATTGTGTAATTTTTGGAAATGTTAAATATCTAATTTTCTCAGTTTAAGAATTTTGTAATGTTACGACATTTATTTCTCAAACATGTCAAAATGTCGATTTAAGCAGCATTACTTAAAACTGTTTGATCGTAAGGTGGATATGATTTCATGTTTCTTTTGGATGTGTGGACCCGATTTATGGAAGATAGAAATGAGTTACGACGAGAGCTTGCTCTGCATAACTGATAGAGATTGTCAACTAAGTTGTTGGCGATGCTTCTGAATATAAACCAGATATCTCGTCAAATAAAGGTTTTCCATAAAAGGACTTGATTTTGATCGAACAGTTTATAAGGCAACTATATGCTTTAGTGGTTCGATATCGACAGCAATTTCTTTAAGGAAAAAGGACGTGTACAAAATTTCAGATCCATATCTCAAAAACTGTTCAGGGTATTAAGAGTATCTTAAGATATCGCAATATTAGTGCTCGAATATATTTTCCCAAAGTTGCATTGATTAAGTTTATATTATAGTATAGCAAGCAATTTAAAATATTTTCCACAAAATTAATACTTTTGCTACACTGTATTTTTTATCCAAGTTTCAAACCTATCATGGTGGGTTTGAAACATGGCCTTTTGGCATTTGTATCATTCTCATTTTGACAATCAAAAGTGCAGAAGAAAATTGAAATTTTTTTACTTCATTAATGATTGGCTAGGCATAAGGAACGGAAAAAGTTTATTGGCAATTGTTTTGATTCACCAGTTAAATACATTTAATTCGGGAAAATTAGTATAATTCAACAAGAAAAATTTGCAAATCAAACAGTGCAACCGGATAGAGAACTAACTTTGCTATATATTGTGCGAGAAATTGGAAATCTTCGTAAAAAGGTAAATGGAACTGACACAATCGTATTAGAAATCTAATTGATCGATGGGGAAAAATGGCCAACGCAGCCAAAGTGTAAAAAAAATTATAAAAATACAAGGTGGATTGGCCATTAAGCTTTCATTCAATGACAAGCTTAAGATTATTTGTGTAATTGTGATTCTCATTATTTATTCTTACGTAAATTGTCTTCGAAATTCGTAAAGGAATAACAAAAGCAATATTGTCCGTGAAGGGTCAACTTAAATTGAATGAATTGTTAAAGTTCAGATTGTGCTTGTTGGAATTACTACAACATCGAATTGACGTTGAGTTAATTGGAGACGCGCCACAGCGCAGTGAAGTCAATTGATTTATCAATGCAAGCCCATGTAATGGCAATGGAAATGATAAAAATAGAAATATCCCTGTGTGTGGTAGTCTTTTAGTGAATGAATCATGAAACTCCTTGTTTTGCAGCTTTTATTGACTTTCGCTGTTTTGTTGCGCTTATACTTCGATAGAGGGCAATTGAGACATACATTATGCATGGTTCGTTTATCCGGTTGCGTTACAGAGCACTAAATATTTATTTCTAAAATATACGATAACCTATGTGTAATGGCTGTAATGCTTTCATTTGTGTAAATATTGGTATATTCTGTAAACCTTTTTCTCAGTGCAAACTTGGAACAAAGATATTATTTATGCCCAAACTTGACTTTCAATTAATCGTTAATTTTCTGGTTGTTCAGTTTGTTATTGTAGCAACAATAAGTTGATAAGACTTTGGTGGAGGACAAACAATTAGGTCGTGTCGGTTACACTTTTTGAAACTTAAGCTTTGTATTCTTATCTAATAATCATCTATAACACGGTTGAAAGAGGAAACCTACAAAACTGTAAAAACTACAAATTTTATAGAGAAATCTTGTGACTCCTTAAGATAACGAAAAAGCACAGTGGGAGTCATCCAAATTTATACATGACCCTTTCCAGTTTACATACGTACATATATGCACAATAGTTAGACAAAACTCAAAATAATGTATTAAAAATAATGACACCAGAAGCTCTAAACACAATCCGCAGACTATGTACAGTTTCTACGTCAGATGAGTAAAAATGTTTAAGTTGGCTTGCCGGTAGTTTTCATGTTTTGTTCCAGCAAGTACTTTCACGAATTATTTCATCAGATATGCACAAATAGACCTATGTGTATATTCCCTGCTGTATGAATTAGCACTTACCATTACTGCCTGAAATTGTTTAACATTGTGCGCAATACACACAAAAGCTCGCACACATTGTACGTTTAGCTAGTGTGTGCGTATGTACTTATTATTACTTAATTGTCTTAAGTATGGCTTATTTCTCAACGCGTTTATTTACAATATTAGTCAACCAATAAGAAGTGTTGCTCTTGAAGCAGCTGACCATTTATTTACATACAATAGTGAAACAATAGGAGTACCTTAGAATATATATACCGGATACATATGCATGTATATCCGTGTTAAAGTACGCGTTATGTTTGTATTTGGTTTTGTGTCTGCAATTACGTCTTCCTGTCGCAGGTGTTGGTAGTGTGTAAAGTGTGCAGCTGCGTTGCCGTAAAGTGCATAACAGCGCAAACAAAATATAGATGTTATGAAAAACTCAAATGTGAAGCGTATTGTAGCTTTGGTGCAGTGGAAGTTAACGTTTTATCTTGCTTTAATTATTTATTCGAAATTGTAAATTTAAAATTAGTAAATCTCAATAAGTAGGAAATGTTTATTAGACATATATATGTATGACCAATTATGTTCATTGAAATCAAAGAAAAATAATCTCATTTATGTTCGCAATTCACACTTCAGTTTTTTGCGTTTTAAATAAGTGCATTATTTTTTACGATTAGAAGTTACTGCTAAGTATTATTTGCATACTATTGAGATACTACTTGATGCAAGGAAGTACTGGAAAATGTACTTGTTTTGAGTACAAGTCCTCTATTTTTTTTGCCAATAATGCAAGTTCCTGTTCTCCAAAAACTACTTTTGATTACAATATAATTACAAGTATTGTCTCCAGCGGATGTTAGACAATTGAGTTGTATAATTAAGGTGAACAATTTATCAGCTCCTTATTGGAATATACTAATTAACTATGGAATAATAGAATATTTTATTGTAATATTTATTTTTATTCATTTAGCAGATTTTTTAGTATGGGTGGAAATTATTTTTAGCGAATACCAGTCCAAGTAACGGAAACAGAATCGGATTTCGGAATTTTAATCTACCAAGCACTATTAACTCGGCAGCATTCCTCATTTCGGAAATATTTTCTATCGCTATGAAAACAAACATTTTCTCCAATACTACTTTAACTTTGGGTTCTAAGAACTTTAAGCTAATCTTGTACCGATTATACAAATGTAATTAATTTTTAATTTTACAATTTTTTTTAACTAAAATTATCTGAATTTGAAAGCCACAATATTTTCATTTTCCTAAATGTAAATTTTTTTTTTTGAATCATGGCATTTATTATAGTAGGTTACTATTAATGTGCTTGTATATGCTACATATGTATGTATATACTTATATTTCTATGTGTTTTAATGTCTTATTTACTCATTTGATTTACTGTAAGCGCACCTTATCGCTTAGGTATTTATCAGCAACTGTTTTGCGATTATCAGGTAGGCATATATATGGTACATGTGTGTGTGTGTGATATGAATGTAACGGTTACGATACATCACTATATACATATGTATTTGCATATATAGGGATTTAGCTGATAACCAGTTTATTGCATTTATATGTATGATTATTGGCAAAAGCGACGCAAAAGCGGTAAATAATTTGCTTGCCAACACTTTTTGCTTTGCACAACTGTTCAAATTAATAAATATTTCTCTTTAAACGTGTACTTAATGCACTTATAAATTCACAAACGTATTTAATGACAGTATACATATGTGTGTATGTATTGGTATAAATGTATATATTGTTTGCTATGGTATATGTATTAAGTCAAGGACCCGATACTGCAACGTATTGAGTTTCTGGCCTCGAGAGTCGGTACGTACATATTATCCAGTATTATTGAGCTTAAAACCAGAAAAAATGTTTACATCGGCTAGACCGAGGTTATAATACCCTTCACAGGTGCATTTCTTAAAGCATAAATGGTATAAAAATATATTTATCTTGATTTTTATCGGCCAATTTGGGTTTTCCATACAAGGACATGATTTTGATCGTTCAATTTGTATGATAGCTATATGCTATAGTGGTTCGATATCAGTTCGATATCGGTTCCAACAAATGAATAGTTTCTTGGGGTGAAAAAGCCGTGTGCAAAATTACAAATCGATAGCTCAAAAACTGAGTTTAGTTAGCGTATATATAGACGACGGACGGGTATGGCAAAATCGACACACGCTGAACAGTTATACATATTCGTGTATATACTTTATAGGGTCTCCGACGTTTACTTCTGGGTGCTACAAACTTCGTGGCAAACTTAATATTTATGTATATTAATTAATGTTCAGTGCATAAATATGTACATATTCATATATCTATGTATGTATGTATGTATATTTAGTAGAAGTTCTTTCCGCTCCACCGTCAATCAAATAGTAAATTCATGAAATTATAACAATAATTTGGTTCGTTTTACTTTCTATATTTATTTTATAAATGGTTTCACCACAAAAAAAAAAAGTTACTTTTATATTTATCTGTAGTATATGTATATTGATTGTATTTGCAAAAGTGTGGGTCTCCCCCTGTGAATTTTTCCTTGACGTGCATGTTTTTATGGTACAAATATATATACAAATGTATTGTCAATGACGCACAAATATGTTTTTCATTCAGTTATTCCATTTGAGTTGCGATTTAAGCTATTTCTAAGCCCACACTTAGACACATGCTGCTAATAATAAGTGCACAGAAAAACAAATTTTTGATGATTTCATGTATTTTATTATATTTTGTGAAATATTCTATACATAAACACATATATTAGGTATAACCAACTTCTCTATCGTGCTTTAAACTTTTAAGTGTTTTGTATACTCGAACAACATTTCACAATTTTTAAAATGAACCAATTTTTTTCACTAATCTGATCAATTAAATTATTGTCATCTCAAGTACCATGTATTGATGATTAATTGCAATTCACAGATGCAATTTTTTTCAGCATTATCAACCACTCGAGTCATATATTTATATCTATATATGTATGTATATAGATTAGTTAAAAAGTTTCTGCGCTCGAAATGAAAATATACTGTTTTTGGTACGAAATAAATTTTTTTTTTCAATATAATCTCCCTTAACCTCAGTACACTTATTCCAATGATCCTCCAATAATTTTATGCCATCCCTATAATGACATTCCGGAAGCTCTGCAAAATACCCTTTTACGGCTGTAACAGCTTCTTCATACGACGAAAAACGCTTTCTACGCAGGAATCGTTTCAGGTTTCTGAAAAGGTAGTAGTCGCTGGGAGCCAAATCTGTTGAATATGGGGAATGCTCAAGCAATTCATACTTTAATTTGTTGAATTTTGTCATTGTTAAAACACCTTTGTGAGCAGGTGCGTTGTCTTGATGAAAAATTATTTTTTTGTGCTGCAAACCAAGTCTTTTCTAACGAAATTTTTCATCCAGCTGATCCAAAGGGCTGCAATAATATTCAGAGTTGATTGTTTTACCTTTCTGAAGATAATCAATCAACAAAATTCCTTTTGCATCCCAAAAAAACTAATGTCATAACCTTCTGTGTTGATCGTCGTGACTTCACCTGCTTTGGAGCTGAAGAAACAGCTTCAGTCCACTGTAAAGATTTTTGTTACAAATTAGAGTCATGGTGGTAGATCCAAGTCTCATCCATAGTTATAATACGACGCAAGATATTCTACTTAAAACGCTCGAAATTATGCTGAGAAATTTGTTCATGATCCAGTTGTGGCTGAATTGTTAACGTGTGCGGCACTAACTTTTCAAACAGCTTATTCATATGTAATTCTCCATGTAAAACATGATGTACTCGTTCATCTGAGATGCCTATGGCATTAGTAATTTCACGCTTAGTCAAACTTGGATCTTCACAAACTCTGTTATGAACTTGCTCAATGATTTCTGGTGTGATTGTGGTTTTTGGTCGTCCTTCGCGTTGATCGACTTCAAGCCTAGTACGACCACGTTTAAATTCACCAGCCCGAAATTCAACGGTTCGTTTCGAAGGTGAGGACTCCTTATACACTTCAATCTAATCACAGCGTGATATTAAATTTGTTTATATTAAAAAAATACTCTGACACGTTAACTAGTAAACAAATTATTAATTGACAGAATGACTTATAACTTTGCGCATGTTCTCACGACAGATGTACCAACAGATGAGAAAGAACAAAAATTGGAGCTGGTAGTGATATTTCTTGGTGAGAGCAGTTTTTTTAAAACTCTAATAATGACCACAAACAATTTGAAAAGTTGATAACTTTTAATTGGCCAGAAAGAGGCCTCTCCACAGCTTCTAGAACACTTATTAAAAATTTTAACTCGAAAATTTACTTTAAAACTAGGCCGCCTCTAGATGTTAAAAAAAAATTTTGTTTTGTCTGAACATTTCTTTTTTATAATCTATTGTACATATTTTACCCTCAGGCTAAGCAAAAAAAAATTTTTTTTTTTCGCTCCACCCTAATATATACTCTTTTCAGGGTGTAAATATAAAAATAGTGCTTTAGTTTTAACCACTGCATTTTTGACTACTCTGAGCTGTATTTAGCAAACATTTTAAAACCAGAAGAAAATAATGACAGCTATATTGTTTTATTATAATTTAAGATATAAGCTAATAATATATTCCAAAAGTATTTTAAGAGAAACCATAATTTTAAAAAGTACTCTGGGAGTGCTTTGGTTTTGGTCTGTATTCTATATGTTTCTAAAATTTTATACACGACCTCAATTAAACGTGCTTGGATCAAATACCAAATTCAAATACTTGCATATTTTTAAAACTGGAATCGGGAAGTTCCCTCATACTGTTTTTTAATGTTAATATTAAACTTGCACTTTTATATTTGTACATAAATCAATTTTTATAGCACAAATCGAAATGTTTTCCTAAAATTGGGTAAATATACCCGTTATCTTTACAATACGAAGAAAAAATATATGTTTAACTGTTTTAGTTTTTTATTACAGATAAACTGTTATTTAATATATAAATACGAAACAGATATCGTAAGTGCTTCGCGTGATTAGAAAGCTGAATTCAAACAAAGTGATATGATATAATTTAAACTAAGTGCTTTACTTTTAATGATAGTAGCGGGAACCACGCGTAGAATTGCTGGGGTGTTGGTAGCCAGACAGAAAGTGAGTTTTAAGTTAACTCAATTAGCGCTTGTATATATTTATAATAATATTAATGTACATATGTATAGATGTAAATGTATATAGAAGTTTTTAGTATCTAAATATATATTTGTACGCCATTATTATTATGACTGTATGTACTTTTAGCTGGGTGGTTGAATTTCAGGGTTGTCCTAGTTTGTTAGTATACATACATAGATAGTTAATTTGGCGCCACATTTAAAAATAAAAACATCTATGGAAGGACTTGTTCTACACTTTTGGGAAAAATTATTTTTGGACAGAATTCTAAAAACGGCAAAATGAAGAAATACCCTCAGAAAAAATAGCTTAACGAAGTCATATGTCATTGAGCTCTCTATTTACTACGGTACCACGAAGTTTGTAATACCCAGAAGGAAGCATCAGAGACCCTATGAAATATATATTATAATATATGTATAAACGATCAGCATGACAAGTTGAGTTGATTTAGCCTTGTACGTTCGTGCATCCGTCCGTTTCTCTGTATATACGCGAACTAGTCCCTCAGGTTTTGAGATATCGATCTGAAATTTTGCACACGTCGTTTTCTCCCAAAGAAACTGTTTTTTTGCCGCACCCGCCAATATCGGACCACTATAACATATAGTCGCCATACAAACTGAACGCTCGGAATAAAGTTCTTGTATGAAAAACTTTTTTATTTGACAAGATATCTTCACGAAATTCGACATGGATTATTGTCCAAAATAATCCGAAAAAATTGTTGAGATCGGACTGCTATTCTGCATAAGTAGCTGCCATATAAACTGACCGATCAATATCAAGTTTCTTCTCGATAAATTTATGTATTAGCTTATCGACGGTATTTTGTTAATTAAGTCTTAAGCGGTTTTATCTACTTGTGAAATTCAAAAAATCCCTTTTTTTATAGAATGTGCATATATTCTCCAACCTTCTTTGTATATTTGTCAAATAATGTTCGATTTTTTGATAATAATTTCGATTTGTAAGCCGCTCTGAAATTTACATTTTGTTACAAAAACATTCTTGAACGTTGTCGTTGATTTTTTTTTATTTTGGGTGAGTTATGAGAGGCAGAGCAAAACTACTTTTTTCCGAAATGCTCAGAGTAATTTCTAATAAATATATTTTTACTGTGTCGTCACGGTTAATTCGTACAAAAATATGCTATGATCATGATAAATTATAGTTTTGTAGTTAAATTTACAAACATACATACATGTCTATGTACATATATATATATATATGTATATACATATATGTAAATGCCTTGAATAGGCAACTGCGCATGAAGAAAGTTACATCATCGTCTTGAGAAGTTAATCAAGCGCAGCCGGAGTATCTTCCACACACACACACACACATACACCTAATACACATGTATTATAGAAGCTTCGAATTGAGAAATTTAAGCATTTCATCAAATTACTACTTGTACTTGCGACTAGATGCGTCAAATCAAATCGTGTCTAATACTTATTTGTCGCTTGTTGTAGGCGTTGGCATTTTTTCAACGCCTGCTGTGACTGTTGCTTAATTGGTTGTTAACTATTATAGTAAACCGGTGCAGGCTGCAGTGCATTAAGTGCTCATAAAGCAACGAAACTTGCACTATAATCATATCAATTGCAGTGTGAGTGTGTGTGTTGTTCAGAAAATATTAAGAAAACGTGTTGTGAAGTGTTTAGAAAAAAAAAATTACTTGTGAGCGAGTGCAAAAAAATAAATAAAAAATAATAGAAATTTAAACAAATAAATATATAAAAATTGAAAAAAAAACTATACTAGAAAAAAGTAGCAACAAACTGTCTAGAAGTGTATTTATTTCAGTGTTTTAAAAATGTTGTGAAATTATTTGTTTTTGTGCAACGTGGAATATATTGTCTAGTTGCTTTCAGTTGCTTTGTGCGGTGGAAAACAGCATTCGCAATTTCTACACTATTGAGATAAGCTAAAAGGTAATTAAATAAACGTGTTTTACGGTGAACGTGACATGTGCTTTTTTGCTTGCTTATTTGTTTTGAAATCACCGTTACTAAATAAAGAAGTGATTATTTTTACGATATAGGGCGCATGCTGCAACGCGCTTGCACAAGCCTCGCTCACGCACATCTATTTTACGCTTTAAGGAATGCCGTCAATAACCAGCGAGCCTGCAGAGTTCTACATGCGTATATACATACATATGTAATTCAATTATCTTTAGTGCGATAAGGCGATAAAAAATATTTGTATGTAAATATAATCGACACGCCTAAATAAAAAATAATTTTAAAAAATTGTCACAGCAGAAGCCGCTTCGAAAACATTGCCGCTAATGCGCCACTAAAATTAGCCAAACTTATAAGCAAATTAATCATAATTATTATTTTTGTTATTGTAATAATTTTGATGTTTTTTACTATATAATATCTTATAATTTAATTTTTTAAATACTACATGCTACAAAAATAATTAACTTTAAGCACAATAAACAATTTTAATAAAAAAAGTAAATAAAAAAAATTTAAAAACAAAAAAAAAACGAAAAAATTTAATACAGAAAAATATAAAAGCAAAAAAAGTTTAGTACAAAAAAACGAAAAATATTTCCAATACTAATAACTTTTTTATTTTAATTGTAATTTTTATTTTGTAATAAAGTTTGGTTGCTTTTGCCTATAATTCTCTTTTAGTTTTATTTTTTCTTTATGTTTTTTAATTAATTGCGTTGCGTTAATTTTCAGTGCGCCGACGACAATACCACTAAACAGCTGCTGCTGAAATGCTGTCAGCACAACGTGTTGCATGATCTCCACCAAAGCGTATCCAGCTAAACACCGTTACCTTCCAATAGCATTTACTTTAACCTACATATATTCCTACATACATATATGTTTGTATAATGCCCGAGCGACGGCCAACCATACATCCAACGGATGCAGAACGTTTACTCGGCATTTTTCTAGCGCTCATCGTGCTCTCACCCTTTGCAGGCGCTTGCTCAAGTCGTGCCATACAGAAACCGGCAGCACCGCCACCGCCCTTACCAACGGCCGCACCATCCGAAGCGGCGGCGTCCACTACGCCGCGCCCCAACATTACATTCCCCATCTATAGCTGTCCGCCAACATATGCCGCCTGGTATTGCCTAAATGATGCCACATGTTTTACGGTTGAAATTCACAATGAAATACTTTACAATTGTGAGTGTGCCACCGGTTTTATGGGTCCGCGTTGTGAGTATAAAGAGATCGATGGCTCATATTTGCCGACACGTCAACGTGCTATGCTCGAGACGGCCAGTATTGCGAGTGGTGCCACATTAGCGCTGCTCGTTGTGGTCATACTATGTCTAATGTGGTATATACGCTATGATAAGCAACGGCAAAAGTTGAATGAGAGCGCCGAAGCGGCACACGACAATGAGGGGCTCGACCAAGTGGACGGTATGACGCGTCTACCAATGCGTCGACCATTCGGTGAACACCACTACAAAACTTTACCATTAGCTGCAGCCTTTAAGCGTTAATTTAGCTACTTACATACATATTTAATGAGATACTGAAATTCATAGTTGACTAGAGTATGCAGTACAGTCCAAGAGCATATATTTATGGATGCGCGACTAACTTACAACTGGCAGCTAAACGATATATGGGGAAATTGATTACCAGTTTACAACGCTAACGGCTACTAGAATTACTAAGCATAATGAGCACGTGTTGGAAGAGCAGTGAAGCACAGAAAAGACAAAGAAATGCGTTGAAAGACATGCTAATGCATTTTAATGCCATTTAATTCACACCAGTTTTGTTTTTAAAGTTTTTTTTCTTGTAACCAAAAGCGTTGGACAATTTCAAACTCTGTGGAGTTTTTTATTTAATTTAATTTATTTTTTATTGTTTATTATTAAAAAAAATGTACATACAAATATGTAAAATTAATTTATATTGCGCAGCAGGATTTTGAAAATCGTTAAATTTTTAATTTTGACCGTTAAAACACAAAAAATTGTGCCATAAAGCAGAGAAAAACGTATTCTATTTTTTTGTTAACCAATTGCGACTAATTACGATTGCTTTCGGCATCTTTTAGGCGCATTTACATTATTTTTCTATTTACTGCTTAAATACAGGAATTTTAATTATTATTTTTTGTTTTATAAAATCGCATTGCAGTTGCAAATACTTCAAAAGCATGCATTTGGTGTTGCTGTAACTGACCTTGAGACATTGTAAACAATTATTTTCATAAAATTGCCAAATTCACAGAGGAAGCAGTTGTCTAAGTAACGCTAAAAAATCAATCTTATATATACTAAGTTAAAAATGTCTCACACACTCCAGTGTACGCGGTTTTTTTAAACGCCAAAAATTGCCTTATTAATGTTTAAACAAAACGCCGAAAATAAAAAACCACTAAAAATACCTAACTGACGCGCATTGCTGCAATTAAGCTGTTTTTTTTTTTTTTGCAAAATGCAAGAGTTGCTCGTTTTAATATTTATACAACGACTATTATTTATTATTACACCCACTGACGTTATTACACAAAAAAGTATTAAAATATAATAAATATTGTCTTAAGTAAACGAAAACACATTGTGGTTTTTATTGCATAACAAGTACGAAAATGAGTGTTTGTATGACATGCCTGATATAAATATGCATATACCGTTAAATTACCGTTAATTACAATATTTACCAGCACTCACTACGAAATTTCCCCTTACAGTTACGATCGCACAGCGCCAACGTTCACTTGACGCACGCAACTGGTGGGCAGCATGTCGGATAATCCACAGAGGCCACCGCCTACATCGCACGGCGAGGAGCTGGGTCCGCCAATGGCCGACTTTAGTGCACCGCCACCCTATGAGCTCGTCAATAATGTTGGCATGCCACAGCAGCAGCAGCTGAAAAATGCAAGAACTCAGCTACAACAACAACAACAACAACAACAGCTGCCACCACCTTATCTACAGGTGTCGCTGCCACCGCTAGACTCAACGTTGGCACCACCGCCACCACCACCACTACCAACAGGCGGCGTTATAATGGCTGGCGATATGCCAAAAATGCAATCGGACGTCAAATTGCCCTCATATGAAGAAGTGCAACGGCAGAAATCAGCTAATGGCGAATTGCTATTTATGAATGAATGCGTGCTGCCACCGCATATACGTGACAGCAATACGCCGACTAATGGCGGCAACAACAACAATTCGAATGGCACTGCGTCAGCTCTAACATTCATCGCTATCGATGCATCGGATGCTGAAAATTTGACCAGCAGCGATGACAATAGTCTGCTCGGCACCGATGCCATGTTCATATTGGCCTTTATGGTAGCATTTCTCTTCAATTGGATTGGCTTTTTGATGCTCACCTGCTTTTGTCAGACAATTGCTGCACGCTACGGTGCATTGTCCGGCTTCGGTTTGTCGCTGGCCAAGTGGACGCTGATTGTTAAGAATTCCACGGAGTTGGCTTCGCATGAGAACTCTTGGCTGTGGTGGTTGACCATGGCATTTGGCTTTTTGATTTGTGTGCGCGCATTCCTGCAGTATGTATCGATTAAGCGCACTTGGCGTTTGCTGAGCACATCAGCGCAAGAGCGTTTGCTATTCTTCTACTAGAAGTGCGCGGGGGGCGTGTTGTTGATACAGTGGTGCTTGGTTGCCACTTAGTGCAAGCACACAAACACCTTTTTATATATACATACTATAATTTTTTTTGTAAAAATATTTTCATTTAGCTTGTTTTAGTTAGTTTGCCTCACCATTGGTATTAGAATTAGAGCACTCGAGGTACTTAAACGCGATGCCATTTTAGTAGTTTTTTTTTCATTTTTTTTTTGTAATCCAAGCGATTGCACGTATATGTAGCTGAATATTAAATTTGTAGTGTCTACTTTATATGATATGTGTATATGTTTCCAAAACCGAATATGAATGTATATTTCCGAGCAGAATTGAGCATACTTGTTATTTTTACTATTATCTATGTGAATGTGTATTCTAAACGCAGATTGCATACATTGTGCATTGCGTTTGTTTCAAATATATTGGAATTAAATGCTAACAGTTGTTTACTTTATTTCCATAACATTTATTGTTGTTGTTCTACATAAAATACACTTTTAAGCAGTTATTGTGAACGAAACAGATTTAGTGATACAAAACAGCATGTACATAACTAAGGTAAAAGTGAAATTAATGAATTTGCATAAAAATTAATGCTGTACTTATTGGTGCTAATTATGCGACGTACATATGCATATAATTAAGTCGTCATTACATAAAAGTGATTTTTGTGCGTGCCATATTGACTTGCCACACGTTCAACTCCTCGTAGTCCTCAATGCACTTGTCTACCTGATCCGGTTTGAAGCCTTTGGTTGTGCAGCGATCGATGACATCAGCGATTTTAACGGTATTACTCGAACCGGCTAATTCACGCACAACAGCGAATATCTTGTCCGACGTGTTAGGAACACTAAAAAAAATATATGTAAAAAAATAATGATTTATTGTTCAAATCACACTAAATATGCTGTACTTACTGTCCCTTTTGGTGCTCGTGCAGCTGGTTTAATGAATCCTTTGACATTTCCAAAAGGCGTAGCGCTTCGGCAACATCATCCTTCTCAACCTTGTCCGACAGACGCAGACGTGCGAGTGCTGTTGACAAACGTAGAATTCCCAGAAGATTACGTGCCGATGTAAAAGTCATGTCTTTTTGATTGCGCGCTTCACGACGCAATTCCACATAAGCGCCCACAATGTATTCGGTTAGCTCATCGGGTATTGCGGGGTTTTTGCGTTTGCATAGATTGATGTAGCGACGCATAAGATTCATGTCGAGTGCTTTTATGCGACTCGGTGGCTGCTTATTGTGACTATGCACATAAGTAATATGCTTGGCAAGACGTAAATCATTGTCACGATCTGGTTTATCCTGCATAAGCCAAAGCAGATCGAAACGTGATAAAAGCGCAGCTGGCAATTGTATATTTTGCTCAACTGTGCGACGTGGATTGTAACGGCCGTAAGCAGGATTTGCCGCAGCCAATATAGAGACTCTTGCATTTAGGGTGGTCATAATACCAGCTTTGGCTATGGATATTGTCTGTTGCTCCATCACTTCGTGTATAGCAGTACGATCATGATCAGCCATTTTGTCGAACTCGTCAATGCAGCAAACACCTTGATCGGCGAGTACTAGTGCGCCACCCTCCAGCATCATTTCGCCGGTTAGCGGATCTTTCATAACGGCGGCTGTCAAACCGACACCCGATGAACCACGTCCAGTGGTGTATTGTGAACGTATCGCTAAACGACTTATGTAGCTGAGTAGTTGGGATTTGGCAACACCGGGATCGCCCATCAGACATATATTTATATTGCCACGAATGCGCATACCGTCGGGACGTTTATCCACGCCGCCGACTAAAAGCAACAGCAGCGCTTTCTTTACATCCAAGTGTCCATAAATTTCAGGCGCCAAACTAGTGGCGAGACGTTCATAGAAATCATCTTGAGCCAACTCTTGCAGCTCTTCAGCGGTGAGTTCGGCTTCTTGGTCGCTGGCCTCGTCATTTTTATTAATGCAAACAATGCGCTATTATTAATAATATTTATAATTTATAACTATTTAGAATATATTTTAAAGAGTATGTACGTACATATGCATGCAAGAAAGTCTCTGATAGCAAGCCTTGAATTATTTGTCGGAAACCGGAACGTATCAAAGGCAGAAAAACGCCAGATATCAATACATGGTCACCAGGTTGCGCCATGCGTGTCACTTCACCACGACACATAATGGTCATGGTGCGTGGTATATGTCCCACGGGCACTTGATCGCTATGCTCCTGTATTTTGATTTCTTGAAATTTAACGAACTTGGAGCCACGCGTTTGCAAGTACAAACGTCCGCCCGCTTTGTTAATGCGACAATCATCTGAGGGGCATTCTTGCACTGGTATAAATGTTAGGGAATTTACTGGTTGATATGTTTCAGCACCACAACGATCACATGTGTACGTAGCTACAACCATCATTGGCTTAACTTCGGTGCAACGCGTTACAATACCGCGTACCGTTACCAATTTTCCAATATCTTCTGCTTTGATTTCACGTATCGACCTGGCCTTTTCATTGGAGTGCGGTTTGAACGCCACTTCACTAAAAGCGAAATAAAAAAAGCAAATAAACATAAAGTTACAAAAATAAATTTTTAAAATTAATAATGTAATTTTAGCTTACAATCGCTTCATCAATTCGGGTGGGAAATTGTTGCGCTGATCATGTTGTTCCATGGGATTGCGCGAGCGCGATTCCATTAACAAACGATGCTCAATATACACATCCAAAGCGTCTTTGGCAGCCACTTCACGCTCCTTGAAGGTAGGCAACAATTCTACAATGGCTTCGCCAAATATGCTCGCATAGCGTCTGCAGTTGCTAACAATGGCCTCGGCGAGCTCTTCATTAAATTCCGACACATGATCTAGATCTATTGTAAGCAGTATTTGTTCGCGATGAGCAAGCTTTACGAGTTGATTAGCGTAAATGAACTGTTTCTTGCCGTCATCATCCTCCTTGCAAAATTCAGACAAAAATGTCTTTACAGTTTCTGTAAATTAGTTTACAATAAATAGTATTTTGTATAAGAGTTATATGCTGCAGGAGACTCACCTTTATCTTGTACGTAATCACGTTTTGGCATTTCAGAATTTTAAATAGTTATCTTTGTACAATGTAAAAAACAAACAATTCTATTAAAAAAGACGGAGTAAACTAAAACGCAAATGCACTTTCCGCCAGCTTTTTGACATTTGCATTTGTTTATTTGGCGCCAAAACCTACATGCGTGCATATGTCATTATGCACGGGCGACATCTATCTATTGGGACAGTTAATTTGTGCAGTGTTGCATTTTGTCATTCCGAAAATAAGAAAGAAAGAAATTTTTTGAATGATTATTCGGACTTCCGGTAATTAAAAAAAAACTCAAAAATAGTCGAATATATTTTTAATATTTACAAATGATTATGATTAAGGCAGTACTGAAAAGTAAAAAGGCATGAAATAGTTGTTTATATAAACAAATATAATAATTTCTAGTATTTTCATGCGTTAAACTGTTGTAAAAACAAACAACCGTGCATTTAGAAATGACTTCGCTATGGCAGGAGTGCATTGTACGTAAAAATGTCTACAATTTATAAAGTTTTTGACGGCTGTTCTTACGAATTGAAGAAATCCGTTTAAACTTGAGCATTTTCACAATACTTAACCTCGTTCAATAACTGGATGGTCTCGGACCGTTTTCTCAATACTCGGTTAATTTGCCCTTAACCTTTGGTAGCTTAACTGGATGATAACTTTAACTGACAAAACCGTTTTCATCAAGTTGTGTTTGGCTTATCTACAGATAGTTTGATTATTGTGAAAATGTATGGAAAATAGCTCACAAAACTTGCATTATGTACACGCAAAAACTATATAAACGTCATGTATGTAGCAGATTTGATTATCCTTTTCGGTTTCGGAATATTTCAGCCGAACCTCAACCAGGCGACTGTATCCTAACATGCGTGCAACCGATACAACCTACTACTTGTGAAAGCTTTGCTATTGCATGAAATGAACGTTTTACTGCTTCCATTTCATTTTTACTAATGATTTGGTGAGCCGAGCAATAAGAAGCGACATCTTTTTAACTGCACGACTTGCTGAACTTACGCTAACTCCACAGAAATCGACACTTTTTTGAATAGATGGTTCCAAACCAGATATTGAGAAAACCATTTTCCAACATGTTGCCAATAAAGTTCTGGAAAGTGTCTTAGTAGAAGTTCTTTCAAAAATCTACATGCTGTTCTCCAAAGAGTTCGGTGTTTGTAACCGGCACAGCTACGGATTTATATCCGGTTTATCATAAAAAATATGATTCCGCATCTTTATTTAATATTATTGAAACAAATACAACAAAAATTTTTGCGTCTTGGCATCATTATCTGAGTTTTATAGATTTCAAAAATTAGGACACAAATTAAGGACCATTTGGCTTCAAATAAATGAAGACTGCAAACCGAAACGAGGTGATTAAGGAGGTAAGTAAGATATTAATTTTTATAAAAAGAGTCCCCCTCGATGGAATATCGTACACAATGAACAGCAAAGTTCTGTTGAGCTCAATCGATGTTTTTCTCCGCTGAAACATGACTATCTCTGAATTTTTAAGTACATTAAAAAAAAAAGTTCTTTTAATACAACATTTAACGTTGAAAAGCGACCTTCCTTATATTTACTTCTTATACCGCTTACAGACTTAACCCTCTTTATACCTTAAAAAGGGTATACATTTAGTTGGCCACGAAGTTTGTAACACCCAGAAGGAAACTTCGGAGACCTTATACAATATATATATAAATTATCAGCATGACGAGTTGAGTCGATTTAGCCATGTCCGTCTGACGGTCTGTCTGTCCGGCGGTATATACGCGAAGTAGTCTCTCAGAGATATTGATCTGAAATTGCTCACGTTTATTTCTCTCCAAGAAGCTGCTTATTTGTTGAAACCGCTGATATCGGATTACTATAGTAGATAGCTGTCATACAAACTGAACGATCAAAAAGTTTTTGTGTGCAATCGTTTTTATTTGTGCTTCGGGGAAACCAAAGTTAACGATTGCTCTTGTTTTAGAGTTTTGTTGATATAGTTTTTAACTCATTAACTTAGTAACATTGTTATGTTTTTTTGCGTGCTTTTTAAAGGTTTCCTAACCAAACTTAAACTAATGATCTAAAAGATCTAGAATCTACTCCAAAACAAGTTGTTATCATAAAATTCAAAGTCTTGGTGTTATTTATTCTTGGGTTTAAAATTTACTGTTTTATTGATTGTAATTCATTTTACAAAAACTTCATACATACAAGCTTAAAGAAAAAAAAATATAGTGGCTATGAAATTATTTCAAGTTGAAACTGAATCCGTATTCCAAACTTCATTTTTGTAACTTAGTTTTAGGTGTATTACCTTTACGGTACAAAACTACCAACATAACTTTTCCT